AAAAAAAAAAAAAAAACAAGTGTAATGTAATTGAATAGTATTTGCATTTATGTATAGTTAAGGAGCACACAAGTATATGTTAAACAAAGCTTTTTTATCTATAATGCTAGTGATAACTAAGAGCAACCGCAATACTGCTCTAGAAAGGCCACGCTACTCGATTATGGCGCAAATTCACAGTCCAGCGTTGCTCTACATATTTGCGCTACTTCACATATAGCTATAGTGTTGCACCAGATGATGCGCAACGCTGTAGGAATGCCAATTTTTTTTAATGTATTTTAGTGTAATATAAATGATAATTTTTTTGTGTAATGTGTATTAATAAATGTATTTTTTTGCTAAATAACTTTGTGTAATGTATTTTTTTATGCTAAATAATTTTGTAATTTTTATTTATTTATGTATTATAATTTTATTTTATAATTTAATAAAACATATTTTTTATTATTTGGTAATAAAAATGTATATAATATTATATATATATATACCAATTTTTTTTAAAATATAAATAAATAAAAAAATAATATATTTAATGTATAGTAAAGTGTAGATCGAAGGGCTGTAGACGAAACTTGATTTTGTTTCACTCTACTCTAGAGCAGAATAAACTCCGCGCTAGAGTAGAAAAAAGAGTTGGAGATGTCTAATAGTAACGAGAGCACATATAACAAACTCGTTCAGTTTTGTATTTTAAACTCCTTCAATTTTATATTTTCACTTAAACTCCTTCAATTTTTTATTTTTTTTATATTTTTCCACTCTCAAGTGATGGAAAGAAGCACACACATGTTTATGTTTTACTGCAACAGCTTGTAAATGAAGAAGATGAATGAAACAAAATACAAATTTGCTTATATTTTATTGCATCAGGTTGTAAATGAATAAGATGAACTAAACAAAATGCAAAAAGCAACTAAATGCAAAAGCTCATATTTAGAGAACAAAAATAACCACAAAAACACAGTAGTGCGAAGCAGAGTACAAGAATCGTGAACTGCAATTAATCGCTCTACAAGTTCAAAGAAAACAGGCATTATTATTTCCAGCAATACATAATCACAAAGATGTTTACCTCGCTAATTATTATACCAGCAATAAAACTACAAGGACTTGGTTTTAAAGTTCTCTCGTTTGAATGTCCATCTTCGTTTGCTAAAAATACATGTACTCCAGAAAATAGACTTTCCTATAAACGGCCATGTAGCATCTCACATTCGGCATAAAAGCTCGATAATTGCATTGGTGGATAAAGACCAGCAGCGAGTGTCCCATCTTCGTTTAAAAAACCAAAGATTCAACCAAGATCGTAAATATAGAGTATTTAATGTATAAGAGAAGAAAAGGTTATATTTTCAACAGTAACAATACCACTACAAATTACAACGAATTATATACGATGGAACAATAATTTAAATTTGTTCCAAAATTAGATTTTCTCTTGGGGGCCGATTTGCAATATGAAAATTATTTGAGAAACTTATGACCAGGAAAATTATCCATATTGCAAGAATATGACTCAATAATCAGTTACAACACTCTCCGAGCAGTAAACTCTGATAAATCCTAATGAATTAGCTTGAAATGTAAATTAAATAAATGTTCACTTTCCGTGTAAGATTTTTTGTATAACAACAAACATGTTACCCTTAAATGCATTATGTTCTTATATGCAACACACACTACAAGAAAATGATGAAATTCCAACGGAAATATATTTCAAAAGAATTAAACCAACGGCAATTCCAACGGATATTTCAATACTATTATTTCCGTTGGAATATTTCAATGGATTCCAACGGAAATTCTAACGAAAATATTCCGTTGGAATGAGTTTTCCATTGGAATTTTCGTTGGATTTTGACGATTCCAACGGTGGATTTTCCAACAGGGGTGGAAAAAAAATTCCAACGGAATTTGCATATTCCAACGGAAATTCCTACGGTAAAAAGCCGTTGGAAATATAGCCGTTGGAATCATCAAATTCCATCTAAAATTCCAATGAAAAACACATTCCAAAGGAATATTTCCGTTGGAATTTCTGTTGGAACTATTCCAACTGAAGCTATTCTATTGGAATATCCGTTGGAATTTTCATTGGAATATATTACCATAGGACTTTCCGTTGGAATATAACATTTATTTTTTAGTGACAATTATTTTAAGCTTTTAGCAGTTAGAAGATGATACATATCAAAGAAGATGGCCATTACCTGGTACAGTGTTGAAGTAGAATCTAGAAAGCTCGGGGACTATCCCTCATGCTTATATTTAAGCTGTTTCTCATTGTTCGCCTCCCAACACCAGCATTGCCTTTTGTCATCATGGCAACAAATTCTCCATAATCAATCCTACCATCCTGAAAAAACACGTCTCGTAAAAAGTTAGCAATATATCCGTGGGTGTAAGAAACAAATTACCATTTTCGAACAAAAAATGAATGTATGGAAAGCAGAATATAAGGCTATGTTTGGTAAAATTAGTTGATAGCTGATAAGTTAGTTAATAGCTTATAAATGAATTTCGAGCTAATAACTGATAGTTTATGGCTTACGGCTGAAAAACTAGCTGATATGATAAAAGTGTTTCGTAAAATTAGCTGAAATGAAAATTTCAACGAGCTTATTTGGAAAGCTACACAAAAAAGCTTATGAAATAAGCTCGAGTTTTTTAAAAAAAAAGTTCGTTCCACCAAACAAGTTTATTTGTATACAGAAAGCTTATAAACTAATCAAATAAGATATAAGCTAGCAAAACACAACCTAAAACTCAGATAGAGCAGTGTGAAAGAGAATTTACATTATCTTGGTCAACTTCTTTGATAATGTCTTCCAATGGAACATCTGTCATCCCGTGTTCTACACAAGCTTGTTGAAGTTCATCGACTGTAATATAGCCACTTCCATCTTTGTCAAAGTATTGGAATGCAGCCCAAAGATGTTCTTCACGTTCGAGTTTATTCAAATGAATTGTGGCTGCTATAAATTCTCCGTAGTCAATGGTCCCACTATTGTCTACGTCGGCCTTCAGAAGATAAATTCATCAACATAACATCGTTATATAAATATAGATGTGCAATATAAACAACATTTTGCAAAAGGTTCTGATTATTAGAACAGTTGAAGGACGAAAAAACATGAAGACTGATTGAAAAAATGCTAACGTTAACACCTGGCTGCACTAAAGTACAATGGTGGAATTTGTAACGAAATCAATATTAAAAGGAGTTAACGTCTCAAAGAAATTGTCGTACCGCATCCATAAGATCACGTATTTCTGTATCCTTTAAAGTAGATCCATATTTTCTTAAACCAGCTTTGAGTTCATCAAATGTGATTGCTCCACTGTTATCAGTGTCCATAGTTGTAAACATCTCTCTTAAGCCTGCAATTTCCTCTTCTGACAAGCTTTCAGCTATTACCTAGACAAAAAAAAAAGAATAAGAGCACCAAAAATTTTACTTCCTAAAGTCCTTGAAATAAGGAATAGAGCATACAAGGTAGTATAAAACAGTGTATTGGATGAAAACAGACGAAAATTGTTTGAGACGAGGTTACATACCCGTAAAGCCATTTTCTTTAACTTATTCATTGCAGAAAATTGTTTGAGACGAGAAAGAACAGCTGGATCTAGGGCTCTGTCAGGTGCAACGCCATGTTCAGATATCCACGGATGACCTATAACAGAAGAAAGATGAAAAAACCGAGATAAAATCCTATCCTCACTAAAAACAATTTTCGAAACAATCCCTTGAGCGAAGTACACAAGTAATTTTTTTTTTTTTCTTAAAAAAAAGAGAGTAATATGTAAGAGCAAAAAGATCCAAACACGACAATAAGATATTTGCTTATATAAATAAGCATATACATAACAGATAGAATTCAAATGATAAAAAATCTTTTGTTTTTCAATTTCTCAAAAAAAACAACTAAAAAGAAAATAAGAAAAAATAGAAACAATTTTCAGATGAATTGAAAAATAATTTCATTTCCAAAGAAATGATGATATAAGTGGTAAAACTTGAAAAAAAAGCAGATAGGAAGAAACCCACATAATACTTGATGAGCAGTCAACCGCTCGGATGGTTTCATGCATAGCATCTTTCGAATAAGATCCTTAGCACTTTCTGATATTAGTGGCCAAGGGTCAGATTCAAAATCAATATGTCCTTTCAACACAGCATCGAATATTCCCTGCTGAGTCTCTGTAGCATTATAAAGGATCATCATTATCAGTTACAAAAGCACCAGGAAAATATATTCACACTCATGTAGCAAACTAACTTACCAGCCCAAAAAGGAGGTACACCACTAAGCAATATATAGACTATAACTCCTGCTGTCCACACGTCTGCTTCTGGGCCATAATGCTTCGAAAGAACCTCAGGCGCCACGTAATATGGGCTCCCGACCACATCCTTGAAAATCTGACCTGAAAGTAGTAAACAAAAAATCGGAAGTTAAATTAAAACACGATATATAGAGAGAACTGAACCCTACTAAAAACGCCTGCGAAAAAAAAGAAAAACAAAGCAAACATATGAAAACAATCCGTAAAAAAACAGTAACAACAACCTGGCTTGAAGAAAACCGAAAGCCCGAAATCAATAGCTTTAAGAGAGAAATCGTCATCCTTATTAACCAACAAGAAATTCTCCGGTTTAAGGTCTCTGTGCATGACCCCAAGCGAGTGACACGCCTCAACAACCCCAACAATGATCTTTGTCAGCTCGGCTGCTTTATGCTCGCTGTAATGTCCCCTTTGAATTATACGGTCGAACAATTCTCCCCCGGCACAGAGTTCCATCACAATATGAACATACAAAGGATCTTCATACGCACCCTTAATTGTAACTATATTCTTATGCCCCGACAAATGATGCATTATCTGAATCTCCCTTCTCACATCTTCAACATCCTCTTTTGAGATCAACTTTCGCTTTGATATCGATTTACAAGCATATTCTACACCAGTTGAGATCTCTGTGCATAAATAAGTCGTGCCGAATTGGCCTTGACCCAATTTACGGCCCAATACGTAAAGATCACGGATATTCGGGGTTTTATGACCCAACACGAAGTAAGCTTGGTTAGTCGAGCCGCGGCTCATGGTGCTATATTCTTTCTTTGAGCTAACGGGAGGCGGCAAATTCGAGTCTTTTTTGCTTTTTTTGGAGAATTCTTGAGCGACGAGGTGTTGAGAGGTTAGGCTCGTCGGGGAGTAGCTGTTAGAGGAGTTAGAGCGGCCGGGTGATGATTTGTGTTTGGAGTTTGATTGGTCTTCGGGCTGAGTGTAGCCCTGAAAAGGTCTGACCCCGAATGATCCACGGCATGTGTTGCCCATGAAACGGCTGGTGCAACACTTCTCTATCTATTTTCGGCTCGATTTTGTTCGATTTTGCATCGATCAGGAAAATGCTTGGAACCCTGCGAAAATCAGAGAATGGATGAAGCAAATATTGGTCCCATTATCTTGGAAATGCAAAAAAATTGAACATTTTCTTACAAACACCAAAACTCAGCTCACCCTGACTTGGAAAAAAAAAAAAAAAATGCTCAGAAAATGAAAATTTGAAACCATATTTCAATTTCAGAAAAAAGGAAGGCAAAAAAACAACAAAAACACAAACAAGGAGAACAAAATTTCGGCCCCATTTGCTTGGAAATGCAAACAAATTGAACATTTTCATACAAAAACACCAAAACTCAGCTCACCCACAAGCCCACCTGGAAAAAAAAATTGCTCAGATAATGAAAATTTGAAACCATAATTCAATTTCAGAAAAGAAAAGAAGTGAAAAAACAACAAAAACACAAACAAGGAGACAAGAAGAAAAAGATCCCAAATCAAAAACAACAACACATTTGAACACCAAACGGAACATGGCAACAAGGTATATAAACACGAACAAATTGTTACATACACAAATCATATAGTACGGTGACGGGGACCAAAAAAAAAAACTAAAAAAGAGATCGAAAAGAGAAGAAAAAAATCTAAGGACGGATCTAAAGATTACAAATTTACAGTGAAAATTTACCAGGAAAAAAAGAGCAGGAGAGAGTAAATTGTCAAAAGGGCTCTTTACGCACGATTGTGTGTGTGTGTGTGTGTGTTGGTTGTAATAAGGAAGATGATCAGAAGGTAAAAGGAAGATTCCCCCTCCGGCCAGGCAGCTGCCCCACCTCCATCTCTCATATAATCGCCATAGATTGAATAAAAAAAATAAAAATTGATTAAATAAATAAATAATTCAAAAAAAGTTGTTTGCTTTTGTTTTCTTTATAATAATAATTGTCCCTTTTCGCAATGCATGTAGTGCTGTTAAATTAAACGAGTTTGACTCAGCTCGGCTATAGTACAGTTCGAGTTCGAAGTCTTAACGAGCCGAGCTCGAACTCGAACTCGTTTAAAGCTCGTTTGGTTAAGAGTTTGGCTCGATAAAGCTCGTTAAGGCTCGAAAAATGAATATTATATAATTATTTATAGTTCAGCTCGTTAAAGCTCGGATCGGCTCGTTAAGGCTCGAGCTCGAACTTAATTTTTAACTCGTTTACTTAACGAACCGAGCTCGACTCAGCTCAGCTCGGCTCGTTAAGAGCTCGAGCTCGAGCTCAAACACCTTAAGCTCAAGTTCGACTCGACTCGTTTACATCCTTACACACAGGCCGCAGCACATTAATCGACTCAACAATTACAACGTAAACGAAACTAAAAAATAAACAAAATTATTTGTTTATACTTTATATAAATATAAATATAAATGATTTGACTGATTTGGTAGTGTGGTGGGTGGTGGAGAGTGGACATTGGCGGCCTTCCCATTTTGTTCCTTTTTGTCGTTCATTATTATTAGTTACAATTCTTTAAGCGAACAAATTAGTAATTGAGCTCGTGTATAACTCATTTATCAGTATTAACGAGTCGTATTATTATTATTGTTGTCTATGATTTTAATACTTATTTGATATTAATAAACGATAAATTACCCTCGAGACTTCATTTGAATAGGCCAGTAATTGAGCTCGCTATGACTCATTAATTAGTATTAACGAGCCGCAATTATTAATATTATTGTTGTTTGTGATTTTTAATATTTAGTTTGATACAAGTAAACTAGTCGAATTGAACTTGAGTCTTGAACTGAATAGTCGTCTGGCTCCATACTTACCCCCCTTTTCCGACCTCCGAGCCGGCTACTGCTTTATAAAATCATTCCTTTTGAGTCTTGAACTGAATACACCACTAATTGAGCTCGTGTTTGACTTGTTCATCGGTTCTAACGAGCCACATTATGGAAAATTATATAAGAACTTTTATTTTCGAAACTTATTGCGAGTTCGTAAACGAGTTGAGTCAAATTCATGAGCGACGTGTTTCGTTTAACAGTTGTATTTCATACATAAAATATCTACATTTATATATTTTTATTTTGTTTTTCTGACTAAGTATGAGATTGTAAGATTATAGAAGTGCAATAATTTTAATTATGTCTATATTTTTAAGGATTAATATTCTTGAAACAATAACCAAATTATAGTAAAATTCACTTTATTGATGTAGGCAGGATCCAACATGTCTAATCAACATACACATAATGGTATGTGCGCATGTGATATTACATTTTAGGACTCGGTGTGCATAGAGTTGAATTAACCCAAAATACGACAAATAAAATACTACCTCCTTTTTAAAATAAGTGTCATTTAAAAAGAGGGAGTATAATATAAAGACAAACCCGATTGGGCCAACTTCATGCCCACCGATGAGGACGGTATTCTTACAAGACTTATTATTATTCAATTAAACATATATCGTGTATGATCCAACAATAATAAAACTCGATGAGGACATGTAGATTCAAAAATTTACCCTGATAATTAGTCAAACATAAATTAAAAAATTATAATAATAATAATAATGATAATAATATTGGTTCAAATTATGTAAAGAAAGTTATCTTAATATATGCTCAATGACACTTCACATGGGTTAAGGAACATCAGTTGAAAACAGTCACCAAAGTGTTGACCAAATCAACAGTCTATACTGTTTAATAACATGGGTACAAAATTACTAGTAAAATATGTCTTCCAAAATGTGCTCACCAACATTCACAACTTCACAAGATACCAGAAATCCTGCTTATGATTTTTGTTCATTGCTTGTAATTAGCTGTTAAATGAAAGGAGTTGAGCCGCTCATGAGCTCGACTCGACTCGCTTAGGTTCGAGCTCAGTTCGATTTGTTTGATAAACGAGCCAAGTTGGGGATCGAGCTCGTTCAAAACTCAATTCATTAATAAATCGAGCTCGACTCAGGTTGCAAAGGCTCGAAAGGATATTTCTTTGTGTGTAATAATTTCTATAGCTGACTTGCTAAAACTTAAGTTTGGTTCGTTGAGGCTCTAGCTCGACTTATTATACTGACGAACGAGACGAGCTCAAACTCAATTATTGGCTCATTTAGTTAATGAGCCGAGTGAGCTGCATGGGCGGATCTACATGTAGACCAGCCTAGGCTCAACATGTGCAAATCGAAAATTGTATTTAATATGTGTAAAAATATAAATACAAGTTGATGTTTTAAAATTATTGTTTGTAATTGATGTTGCATGCATCAATGCACTTGTAACATCCACTTAATGGTGGAGTTGTTACTCACCTCCATTATGTATGGAGTTATGAAGTTGAGATTAATTAAAGACTTCATTAAATTAATAGTTGTATTAAGACAACTATAAATAAGGTGCTTGTGTGCATCTTGAAAAGTGAACAATACGAGAGGAGAAAAAGAGTTGGTGTTTATATTACAACAAATAATCTTTAAGTGCATATATCTCTTGTTGAGCCGAAACCATCAAGGCGGCTCGAGTTTTAGAACGTGGAGGATACC